CCTGGTCGGGCCCCCCCCCCGGATCGTGGTGGTGGAGGGAGGGCGGGAGACAGGAGGGGAGGGAGGGAAGGAGGGCATTGCCAAGGCGAGCGGTTGGCCTTTGTCCCTGCGGTATAAACGGTGCTGGGAGGAGGCCATCGCGTCCTTGTTCTTGGGTTCGGGGGAAACGAGGGGGAGGTTGGGGCGGACGTTTTATCGCTAGGTAGGGGAGGAGGGAGGGAGAGGTGTCCGAGGGAGGAGGACGTGGACAGGGGAAACGCGAGAAGTTCTTCTTGTAGCTCTTGGTGGGCCAGCTTTGCAATAGGGTGTTGGCGTCCGTAGTGGCACGTTGTGAGGTCGTCGGTGAGATGCTCGCGGCCTTGTTTAGAACGGTAATGTTCGAATCAAGAACTTTGTGTATACGCCACCCATCACGCATGTGCCTTATTTCCCTCCTCCCTTATTGTGCTTTTACTTCTATGCTCTAATTCATGAATCAAGAACTATGTTTATACGCCACCCATTACGCATGTGCCTTCCTTCCCTCCTCCTTCTACCCCTCCTTGTGCTTTCGCTTCCATGACCCTATTCAGACCCTATTCCATTACTTTAACCCTCATCCTGTGAAAGCGCCCTCTCTCCAATGAAATCGAAAGTCACCTTTACCTCCCAGCTTCCCGTCCTTCGTCTCTGCATCCTCTAATTCACGCCCCGACGCCTCCATCATCCTCTTCCTCCCCTTGTTCGGCCTGTCAAAGCATCCCCACGGCCGTGACCACAATCTTTTGCAGCGGCTTATTCAAATATATAATTTTAGCGCGAGGGTCAAAACCTTTTCCCGCGGCGGCAAACAAGGTCTTGGATGCTACAATGTCGTCGGTGCTCACCTTAACTCTCCCGATCTTGTCCACTACCGCCTGGTTGCTTTCCCGCTCTTTTTCTTCCGGTTTCATCAGCAGTCGCCCAAACACCACGTGGTCTCTATCCAATGCGGGCACCGGGGCGGTGGTCACGCTGAACTCAAAGGTTCCTCCTCCTCGGACCGTGGTCAACAGAAAGGGCTCGGCGTGTTTCAAGCCATTGACTTCGGTGTTTCTCGTCCAATCCGCGGCGTTTTCCGTCTTGATCCGCATGACCCCGCTTTCGTTGATTTCTCTCTTGAGTTGTTTCCCTCCCCCTCCCCCGACGCGACCCATATCAATGCAAGACCCCGCAAGGACGCGCCACACGCTCGAGTACATGTATGAAGCGCTCTGTCCTTGGCCGTTCAAAACTTTCAAAAAATTTCCCACCGTCACGGGCGCCTGGTCCCCAAAGACACCCATGGAGAGGGTGCCGGCCGGGATACCGGCAATGGAGATGTCGAAAAAAACTTTGTCTGTGACCCGAGCGTTGGAAGGGAGGAAGGAGGGATCAAGGGCGGGAGAGGAGGAGGGGGAGGGAGGGGAGGAGGCCAAGGTTGACACGGGATGGGAGAGGGTGCTGCTGCTGAGGAGGAGAAGAGATAAGGTCATGGGGGCCAGCACATCTCTTCTGGTTTTGCTACTATCCCATTTATTTGTGTCGCTATCAGGAGAAGGAGGGCAAAGAGTCGAAGCATCCATGGATGAGGAAGAGGAGGTCGAGAGGGAGGAATGAGCAAGAGAGGAGGGAGAGGCTACGGAGGACATAGACGACGAGGAGGCGGCTCGTTGGAATGTGCGACGTGGTCTAGTGGACGAAAACTGCGTATAAAAGCATGAGACTATGCTTAGGAGTGAGGGAAAATACAATGCTAGGAGAGAAAGGCGGAGGACGCTGCCCATGTCCTTAAGCTTGCTGCAAATAGAAGCCGGTTTCCAACCCGAAAAATCACGATCAATCTCGCGATTAGACGACAGCAGGAGTGCGTCCTGTGGCTATGAGTGATAGTTTTAAAACCTTGATTGCGAGTCCTTCATTCGAGACCGTTGCACCTTAGCCGCTTGAAGAACAAATACAGCGCCTGCCCGTGCTCGAGACGCTTTCTTGTTGGAAACTGTACTTTGAACATCCAGGGGGACTGACGAGTACCAATCATGCATATGTGGCCTGTTGAAGGTCCAGTTGCCATGCCATATTTCCATGAAAGGCTCTTTGCCCTTGGAAAAAAGGGCCAAAATGCAGTCCCCTGGCCCCTGGGAGGGAAAAGCGATGACGGTCGTGGTGACGGGCTTCGACATCCCCCCCTCGGAGCCACCAAGACACGACCGTGTGCGCAAAACTCATGCCCCCAAACAAACTTCCTCCATCCCCTGGGTGCCCTCCGTCACCGTAACAGACACCGGCAATTGAGGGAGCGCGTGTGGATTTTTTTGGGGCTCTGCTTGCGGGCTCCCCCCTTTCCGTCAATCATGCGGCAACAGTTGCACCGTCCTGCCCCAAGACGGTCGTCCCGGCTTCTCCTTTTGCTTGCTTTGGTACTCGGGGCATCATATTCCAATGCCTTTGTCTCTTCTCCCCTTTTGAAAAAGGTTCGTGACCAGAAAATGGAATGGATTCTTTGAGTGAGCAACGCAGGACCTGAGAGAGACGCACTTTCGTGTCCTCTTTCCATTTTCTCTTACATCGTTTATTCCTCATGTTATTACCCTGCCTTCCAGCGTTGCCCACAGAGAAGTGCATTTCATGTGAACTTCCCCTAGCACTCATAAATCCGCATTTCCTCCTCCCTTCCCCCTTCGACGCCGTTTTCCCCCGTCCTTCCTCCCTCTGTGTGTCAAGAATCCTCTCGACGCTTTTTTCAATCACATGGTTCATTCTTAAAACTTACCTTGACTTCATGGCGACCTCTTTCCTCTTTCCACCCCTGGCACCCAATCCTCCCTCCCTTTCTCGCAGCTCGCTCCTCTAGCCCACAAACAGAGATGTCGCATGTCTGCGCCGCAGGAAGAAGGGTCATCAAGCACAGACCTTCACACTGCCCAATCGTCATTGAGCCTGAATCGTGCCGATCTTCTCAAGCGGACTTTAAGGGCTGCTTCCTCCTTCTCTCTGGTGTGGCTCACCGGCCAGCGAGAGGCGGACGCGGGGGAGGAAGGCGCTCCGGACGCCTCCGTGGAGGTGGCTAAGGAAAGTGCACAGCCTGCTCCCGTCTCGCCTCCAGCAACTGCCCCCGGCCCATTGAAAACTGCCTACGATTATGCCGTACCCTACGACGGCGTGCGGGTGCCCCTCGGGAATTTTCGGGGGAAAGCGGTCGTTGTGTGCAATGCCAAGACCGACGATCCGGAGAGCTTGGCGCAGATTCCAGGCCTCACGTATTTGACGGGGAAGTACAGGTGAGAGAGCTTGTGTTGTCGACGCGTCACACGGAGGCGGGAGGGGAGAAGGACGGTGGGGTGTCTGGTGGGGGTTTGGGAGGGAGGAGAGAATGCGTCCCGGGGAGAGGATGTAGTGCATGTATCCCTTGGGCTTTTTTTTGGGTCCAAGACGTCGGCACTGGCTTGTGGATTCGAGGGCCTCCATGTGCCTCTGTTCATCCTCCTGGTTTCTCCCTCCCCCCCTTTCCTTCCCTCTCCCCCCCGGGGGCCGTGGTCCTCTGTCCCCAGCAAGAAAGGCTTGAAGGTATGGGTGTTCACCACCGAACAAGGCACCTTCGAAACGGACGAGGACCGAGTAATCCGCATCAAGTACTATCAACAGTACGGCTTTGGTCAATACCCTAACAGCTTGGTGTTCGACAAGATTGACATTGTTGGAAAGCGCGCCGATCCGTTCTACAAATTCTTGTGCAAAACGTTGCGGAATCCGAACAAGATCGCCCGCATCACTTTGAATTTTGAAAAATTCCTGTTGGATGCCAACGGTCGCCCCGTCCGCCGTTACCCGCGCCGTTACACTGCCTATGACATGGAAGAAGATGTGAAAGCCGTGCTGGCGGGGGAGCCCCTGCCCCCCCCCAGCCCGAAACTGATCAAAGCCTGGCGCGACGCTTATGTCGAAGCGGAACGGAGCGAGTATGCGTTCAAGAAGGGTCTGAATTACTACGAGCCGTTGGGGGAGGACCAACGCAGCCTTCCCTGAGCGGCTGGGTGACGAGGGAGGGAAAGGGGGGGGGGAAGGTTGAGAGGGGGGCAAGTCCCCATGGAAGCGAGAGGGAGGTACTCGAGAGGGAAAGAGAAAGTGCTGAAAATTAAGCAACACCTTCTTGGCGAAAGAAAGCACTGCAAGAAATCATCATAGACGCGAAGGGAAACGTTCATGCTACGGTTGTGATGTCCTCGGTTATTGCATACTGTCCTGCGCCTTTCCTGGGACAAGACTCTCCTCCCGCCTTCCCTCCCTCCCTCCCTCCCTAAATGTAGCCCAAATGCGTCGGATCCTGAGAATACTGGACGAAAAGCTCCTTCCCCTCCGCCCCTCCCTCCATCGCTTCCACGGCCACGACCGCGATCACCACGCGTTCCCTCGCATTGTTCCCCGAGGCGGACAGGGTAGGGAGGGAGGGCACGAGGGAGGGAGGGAAGGAGGGAGGGAAGGAGGACGCCGGGGCCGCCGGCGCCGCCGACGCGGCAACAGTGACACGGATCGTCCGAAACGCCACGTTGGGGCGCCCCCCGCTCCCCTGGGGATCGTTGATGAGATGACCCCACGCCAGGCTCGACCTCTTGCCTCCGCCCTCGGCGCCTCTTTCCTTTGCTGTCCCTCCCCCGTTTTCCTTCCCGCCTTCCCCCTCCCCCTCCAACCAAGCGTCGTTGACCTGGAGGCCAAGCCGCTCGTGTTGCCGTCGAGAAATTGCGCGAAACATATGGGCCGACAACCCAAACGGCCGCCCGTCGCAGAGAAAATCCCGAGACGACACGGACACGCGCAAAAGGAAGGCATTTCCTGACATGTGGAAAGGACAAGAAGGGAGGAGGAGGGGGGACGTTGTTAAAGCACCCCACGGTACCCACGGGGCACGAAGAAGGAGCAGGGAGGGGAGGAGGGGTGGAAGGAGTTCAGGGACAGAAGCAGGGTGACTGACGACGCAGTACAGCACTCGGGTCGATAGGTAGGGAATGTTGGGCTCCATCTTTTTTGAAAAGGCCGGATATCCGCTACATGAGCACGTGTCAACTCAAACCACCCAAGGGGAGGGAGGTAGATTGAATGCCCCTTTACCTATCATGAAGTCCGGTGGGGCAAAGGCAAAAGCATCTTCGGACGGCATCAGCGCCGCCAGGTCGTGAGGCAGTTCATAAATGAGTCCTATTGTGAGCGGAATAGCAAGGGTACGCCTGCAGCGTATCATTCATGTGTGGGAAAAGGTCATTTTCCTTACCGGGATATAGCGTGAGGATGTCGCCCTTGGCAACATTCTGATAGGGTTTGAGCCAAAGCCCACGCCCGGCATTGGGTATGGATGAAGGACGGACGTCAAGGAGGGTAGGAGGCGACAGAGGCGTAGCTGAAGAAAAGGAAGGGAGAGAGGTATGTTTTTCCAGCCACGGAACCAGGGCCTGGTCCAGCTTCCTCTCCGGGACGGCACTAGACGAGATAGGGAGAATATTCGACAGTTCATTCGCCGACTGCGATGCATGATATGCCTGGCAATGGACACAGAGGGGCGAGGGATAAAAAGACGAGGAAGGAGAAGAGAGGGCGGCAGTGACAGCGGACAGGGAGGAAGGAGTCCAACCCCGTGCCCGCCTTAAAGGAGGGAAAAACCAGAAAGGAGCGTGTCGCCTCGTTCTTCTTGTGCTGCGTGGAAGGCAATTATTGCTTGCCTGTGTACAGTAGGTCATGCTGTCAGAAACTCACGGCTTTGTGTGAGAGTAGGCTTCTAGACAAGCAATGCACGGGACGTGACGTACCCTGGCTCTCAACTTCAGGATAAAAACAAGAAGGCCATCGTCCCGGGAAAACAAAAACACCTGGTCCGGTCAATTCACCGGACGCCATTCCTCTTGTCTTCGGTGTCCGATGGTACAAGAACGCGTGCCGAAGTCCTCGTGTTGGGGTGGCCTTGTCGCGGCCTGTGCAGTCCCATGTCTCGGTGCTATCACCCCCCTCGCCCACTACCCTCAGCGACACGCTTGTGCATTTGAACTTTTTGCTCCTCCCGCACAAATCAGGACTCCTGTGCCCGGCTTCCTTGGTCTATAGCATCCCATTGACCCCTCTGTGCTAGCATTGTGGCGGCCTGCTTGCGACAGCGCGGCACTTTTATTGCTCTCGTATTCATTTTAACACGTCAAATGACCTCCTTTCCCACCGGCCCACGAGTAGGAAAAATTGGTCAGTGGCCCCCGTCAACCCCGCGAGACGCGGACACCACGCTACCCAAAGTAAACAAGCGAAGGGATTGCAATATCTGAAGCGGCTTTCCTCTGCGTCCGAGTGTTTCTTTTTTCTGCCGGGTGCGTGGATGGATCTCAGTCTTGCGGGGCGGAGACCTCTCTCCTCTCTGTCGACCAATGGCCAAGACGTTGAGGGACAACAGCAGCAACAACGCGCCGCCCAGAAGCTAGCGGCGTTGGAGAAGGAAGTTTCGGAGAAGGTTGATAAAGATTTCTTCGTCGAAGAGGTTCTTTTCAGGTAAGTAGTAGTAGTGGAGGACTGCCTTTCGGAGTCGAAAGGCAAACAGCAGGAAACCATGGTGGGGGCAATCTGGCAGCGCACACCCATAGCTTGCTGGACCCCTACCCACCACGTTTTCAGGCCGCTCGTCCACGTGATTGACGTGCTCGGCTCCAAGGACGGAGCTGTGAGCAATGTCAGCATGGAAGCTTTGCAAGGTACGCGTTTCATTGCCTCCCCACATGCCGTGTAAGCACAACATCGATGTCCGCCTGGTCCTGTAAGATAATAACACACGGGCTTCCCTGTGATGTTCCTCTCCTGGAGCGCGTGTGTCTCGCCTCAGAAGGCCCTTGCCAGTCTCGCGTCCCCCCCCTTAGTCCTCTCCATCCTCTCCATCCTCCCCCCACCCACCTCCTTCGCCCTCACAGAACAATGCGCCCTCGTGAACCGAGCTATGGAGAGCTTCGTGGAGGAGAATTCCTCCTACTTGAACGGCAACGTGGAAGCGATGGGGACAATTCTCAGAAAGTTCCAGGACACCTGCTCGGACGTGAGGACGCTCCGGGGGCAGGTAGGAAACGGGTCAAGGGAACGGCGAA